ATTGAGTGCAGTTAGTTTAAATTTGAAAGCATAACATACTTTTTTTAAAATACGGTCCAAATTAGAAAATAGAATAATAAAAATTATTTAAATCTGAGATGAGAAAGTTTTTAAATTTTTATCAATATTATATTAGAATGAGTGTGGTAGAAATAGATATTAAATTCAAACAAGCTAATAAAAATTCACATGACAATGTAATAATATTAGTTATTGAATAATATAATATTAAAAATAAAGAATAAATAGAGAAAAAAATTAAAATTCAGATTTTTTATCATAGAGAAAAGGGTAAAACTTATTTAAATTTGAGATGAGAATTTTTTTTATATTATGATAAGAAAAGTCATAATATGGATAAGTCTACATAACTCAAGTCTAATAGATAAAATCAAAAACTAAAATATTGAATAATAAAAATAAATTAGAGATAATGTGAGGAAATTTGTAAATCATAAGTTTAGAAAATAAAATAAATGTAAATATACAATACTTAAAAAATTTAAACTTTTCGAAAAATATTTTAAAAACAAAATAAATATTTATTTTATGATTACAAATATTTATATATATATTAATGAATAGAGAAAAAATAAAAATTCAGATTTTTTATCATAGAGAAAAGGGTAAAATTTATTTAAATTTGAGATGAGAAAGTTTTTTATATTATGATGAGAAAAGTCATATATGGATAAGTCCACATAACTCAAGCCTAATAGATAAATTCAAAAACTAAAATATTGAATAATAAAAATAAATTAGAGATAATGTGAGAAAATTTGTAAATCATAAGTTAAGAAAATAAAATAAATGTATATATACAATACTTAAAATATTATTAAAACTTAAAAAATTTAAAATTTTTGAGAAATAGTTTTATAAATAAAATAAATATTTATTTTATGATTACAATTTATATATATATATATATATATATATTAATAAATAAAGAAAAAAAATCAGAATTTTTATTATAGAGAAAAGGGTAAAACTTATTTAAATTTGAGATGCGAAAGTTTTTTATATTATGATAAGAAAAATCATAATATGGATAAGTCCACATAACTCAAGTCTAATAGATAAAATCAAAAACTAAAATATTGAATAATAAAAATAAATTAGAGAATGTGAGAAAATTTGTAAATCATAAGTTTAGAAAATAAATTAAATGTAAATATACAATACTTAAAAATATTATCAAAACTTAATTTTTTTTAAATTTTCGAGAAATATTTTTAAAACAAAATAAATATTTATTTTATGATTACAAAAATTTATATATATTTATCTATATTATATAAAGAATAGTAGTGATAATGATGTTAAATAAAGTTACAAATTAATGAAAAGCCACATAAAACGTAATAAAACTATATATTAGATTAAAAAACAGCAAAACTATATTAAATTATTAAAAATTTACTATTAGAAAGAAAGGGAAAGACTATTTGAATTTGAGATTAGAAAGTTCTTAAAACTATGTTGAGAATGCTCAAACTATGGAGAATACCATGAAATTGAAGTCTTATTTATGAAAAATAAAAAAACAAATACATATTTAAAAATACATAATATAGGTACTAAGGAAAATTAGAAATTAAATTTTAATCTTAAAACTAAAAAAGAAAATAATTTACGTAAAGAAATAAAATGACAGTGAAAATATTACTACAACATTAAGATATAATGTGTTCAAACAATTAAGAAAATATTTTCCTATGATTAATATCTGAATTGAGTGCAGTTAGTTTAAGTTTGAAAGCATAACATAATATTTTGAAAATGCGGTCCAATTTACAACATAGAATGATAAGAATTATTTAAATTTAAGATGGGATTTTTTTTATTTTTGAAAATGTCATGTAAAGAAATAAAACAGTAAAAATATTACTACAACATCTAGATATAATGTGTTCAAACAATTAAGGAATATTTTGCTATGATTAAATTAAAATTTTAAAAATATAAATTAATTTCTAATATAGGTAATTTTACTAATGATAATTAAAAATTAAATTTGTATCTTAAAGCTAAAAAGAAAAGAAAATTTAACTGCATCTAATACAAAAATAATTATAAGAGAACTCAATATATTTGGAACGTAATAATCAAATAACTTATGTATTAATATTTTAGACTAATTCAAAGTTACAATTTAAAATAAAATATGATATTATTTTGGTTATAGGTAAAATATTAATATAAAAACTGTTTAAAATATAGTAGGGAAGAGATGTATAAAAAAATAAAGGTAGTGTGATTTATACTTTAAATTAATTGAAAAATAAATAAATTAAATATAAAAATATTACTGATAAATTTAAATGATTAAAAAATTCCGAATAAGAGGATACAAACATAAAAATATACCAAATTTCAAGAATAAATTATTTATATTTATTAAAGACTATTAAAAAGATAATAAGCAAGATATTAATTAAATTATTAAGCTAATAAAAAATTATATGATAGTATAATAATATTAAATAAATAATACAATAACTATAAGAAAAGAACAAAAATAAAAAAGAATTTGCATAAAATGATGTGATGAATAAGACATATTTGACTTTCAGTCAAAAACAAAATGATAATAGGAATTTTCTTAAAATAATATGATATAATGTGCTCAAACAACACAGATCACAACATGACATATTTAATATTTTTTAATATTGACACCGAAACGAAATACAAGTACTAAAATCAAGGGATTAGGTTGCTACAAATAAAATAAAAGTTGTCTACTACGAGATTTGAATAATAATTTCATATCTTGCTTCAAAATTAATATCTAATGTTATATAATTTTTATATGAAAGGTTTATATTTTAAAGTTATTTGCACCTAATCAAACAATATAGATTACAATTTGACATAATTTGTGTCCGCGCATCGTGCGGGTACTAATACTAGTAAAGGGATAAAATGAAGCTATCAGACGAGTAATCGCATGTTTGGCAAAGTTTTTTTTTGGGCCAAAAGTATTTTTTGGGCCAAAAATTAAGTTGTTTGGCCAAACTTTTAGAAGAAAAAAAGTGCTTTTAAGAAAAGCAGAAAATTGTAGCTTCTCTCCGAAAATACTTTTCTGAGAAGCACTTTTGAGAAAAATACACTTAAAAGTAATTTTCACAAGTTTGGTCAAACATTAATTACTACTTAAAAGTATTTTTTAATTTAATTAGCCAAACATAAATCGAGTTTTTAAAAACACTTTCAAAAAACTACTTCTCAAAATAAGTAGATTTTAGAAACTAGGCGAAAAAGGTATAAGTGTCTTTTTATCAAGAAACAAGCGAAAGATATATGGAGTAGTAGTAAAAGCTTTCACTTCATCCGAGAATAGATCATTCCAATGTCTTTAAACACACGTCGGAAAAAAAAATAGAAAAGAACATTGACTACAAAATCTCTGACTGGAAATATATATAGGCGCTAGGTAATAAAAACTGTTAGTAACTTGTTTCCCAATGCAATTTTAGAGAACACATTTTATCTTCAGTATTGCCAAGGATAATTAAATTTATTATAAAAGGATGTGGTGCAGTGGATGGAACTGTTCAGATCTCGAGTTCGAATTTCGGGTATGGAAAATTTTTTGGTAGAAGGGCTTTCTCCCAAATAAGGCTCTATGCGACACGAATTCAAATATAATCGGACTTCAATACGGATACCGAATATCAGGTGGGAAACAAAAAAAGATATTAAAATCCGTGGCCGTCCACCACCATTAAAATAAAACAAGTGTAAGAAGAGAACCCGAAGAGAAGAAACATTCCCCAGTCGCCGTAAAATATGGAGTTTGCAATAGTAGTACCAAAATTAAGTAACAAAGAAACAAAATACTATTGGGGTAATAAAAGCCAATAGGCTCCCCCTCCTATATATTGTCGCTTTGAATTGCTGAATGGAAAATGACAGTAGCCAACGTCGGCGCCAGACCCACAAGCCCGACGTATCTACGACTTGAGAAATAAGTTTTATTTTGTGTCTTATACAACTTGTGTAAGTTGTATGAGATAATTTTTTTGTCTCGTTTTGCGAAAAAGTGCCAAGTATTATGTTACATCAAATGGATGGTGTAGTTATTTAAGTGCAAGTGTTAATAGAAAGAATAATTTACTCCGATGCAAGTTAAGTGTTTCTCTACTTGCAATAAGGAGTCTGTGTGTATACGGTCAAAATCAAGGAGTTCGACTTTGGAGCTACTGTGGCACTCCACGCCCAACCTCGAGAAGCTCGAAGCAGAATGTGAAGTGTGACCCTGAGGTGCGTCCCTCGAGGGAGCACATCGAAGGTTCACTATGGTCAACCTCGAGGCAGTATGAAATCGACGACCGTCATGGAAAGGCGAGAAAACTTCCAAGGACGTGTGGTTAGAGCTGATAAGGTCTGTAAAGATAGTACAAGCTCGTACAAGTCTGTTACACAGCTATACCAATAGCATTTCTCTGTCATGATTAGACTTGTACTATGTTGGGATTCACCCCTCCTATATAAAGGGGACCAAAACATTCTTGTAGGATCCTGGTCATTTTGAAATATACATGAATATTGAATACAATAGAACATTCTCTGCCCTTCTTGCCTAAACGTGCTTAACAATTACTCTACAGCTTTATTGCTCCTCATTTAATGTGTTTATTCCTTGTTCATTTATTGTTCTTCATTTGTTGTTCATTATCAACCTTTAAAGGCTGCCCTCGAGGTTTTATATCGCTGAGCTCGAGGCCCTCAATCTTGTGACCACACTGGTTTGCTTATCATTTCTTGCTCACTTACACTTAGCATTATTTACATAACAACTAATATTGAAATAAATCATATATTTTTAGAACCACAAATCAAATATAATTGTAAATACCATTTTTAAGGTAAATAGTTTGGCGCCTACCGAGGGGCTAAAAATAATAGTGATTATTTTGGTGCTAGTTTTCTGATAACACACGTTACTCTTCACATTTTTTCTTGTCAAAGATTCTTTGATTTCAGGCTTAATCATGTCTAGCACACAAAATGCACCTTTTCACGACAGTGAGGGACTTGGAGAAAACAACGACATAAGGCTCAATGTACCACCTCTAAACCCTGAGGGAGTGCTAAACGTAGAGACAGTTGATATCAGCTCCCACAATGCTCTAAACTTGCAAGCAGGCGTAGACCCCGTAAGGAATGGACGCAGGGAAGCCCAGGCTGGAGGCCAAGAAGCACGAGGAAAAGAAGAAGGAGGAATCAGCCTCCAAGTGGTATTCGAGATGCTGCAAGCTCAACAAGTCGCCATCGCTCAACTTCAAAGTCAGAACAGAACCCCTAACACCGCCGAACCAGTAAACATGCAACAAGAATTAGTGCTAGAAAGAACCGATAAAAGTGGCTCAGGGACTGACCCCACAATCATGAAAATGCTTGAGGAATTGACTAAAAGAATCGATTCGGGAGAAAAGAAGATAGAGGGCTAACGATAAAAAGGTAGAGACTTATAACTCGAGGGTCGATCAGATCCCGGGCGCACCTCCGATTCTGAAGGGTGTAGATTCAAAGAAGTTCGTGCAGAAACCATTCCCATCAAGTGTGGCTCCGAAGCCCATCCCGAAGAAATTCAGAATGCCCGATGTCCCGAAGTATAACGGGACCCCGGACCCCAATGAGCACATTACCGCTTATACTTGTGCTGTAAAAGGGAATGACTTAAAGGATGACGAGATCGAATCCGTCTTGCTGAAGAAATTTGGAAAAACACTGTCGAATGGAGCCATGATATGGTATCACAACCTACCCCCGAACTCGATTGATTCGTTTGCCATATTGGCAGATTCTTTTGTGAAATTCTTTTTGTGAAGGAACATGCCGGTGCCATCAAGGTTGTTACAAGGAAGTATGACGTCTTCAAGATCAAACAAAGGGAGAACGAGATGTTGAGGGAATTTGTATCTCGCTTCCAGATGGAGCGAATGGAATTACCACCGGTCTCCGATGACTGGGCAGTGCAGGCCTTCACTCAGGGCTTGAACAAACGAAGCTCGATAGCTTCGAAGAAGCTAAAGCAAAATTTGATCGAATATCCCACCGTGACCTGGGCGGATGTGCACAATAGGTATCAATCGAAGATCAGGGTCGAAGACGACCAATTGGGAGCCTTCTATGGCTCAATATATCCAAGCAGGCTCCTAGCAAAGGAACCAATGTCTACAAAAAGGGAGTCGAGATTAGGAAAGGAAAGGTATCAGCCATACTTCAAAGATCGAAGAGACACCTCGAGGCAGAATATATCTCAAAATGATCGAGGAGTAAATCGAGGCCAAAATTCCTGGAGACTTATGAGCAAAACCAGGTTTGATAGGCATTCGAGGCCAATGGAGGCACCCCGATTGTTAGAATACAACTTCAACATCGATGCCTCAGGCATCGTATCGGCCATGGGTAGAATCAAAGATACCAGATGGCCAAAGCCCGCACAATCAGATCCTTCCCAAAGAAACCCCAACTTGATGTGCGAATACCATGGCATTCACGGTCATAGGACTGAGGATTGTAGGCAACTCCGAGAGGAGGTGGCCGGACTAATCAACGAAGGGCACCTTCGAGAATTCCTCAGCAATCGAGCCAAAAACCAATTTCAAGAAAGAGAGGCGAACAGAAAGAATGGACCGGAAGAACCTCAGCACATCATTCACATAATCGTTGGAGGAACTGACGTCCTAGAGGGACCCATGTCCAAATGGGCCAAAGTGTCCATCGCAACAGAAAGGCAAACTCGGAGCTACATACTTGAGGACGCCCTTACATTTAGAGAACAAGACATCGGGACCTTTTCCCAATAACATAATGATGCACTGGTAATTTCTTTTCTTTTGAATAACGTTCAAATTAAACGTGTTCTCACGGATCCAGGTAGCTCGGCCAACATAATCAGGTCGAAGCTGTTGGAGAAGCTCGGACTGCTCGATCAAATCATACCCACCTCTCGAGTCCTCAATGGATTCAACATGACAAGTGCGACAACGAAGGGAGAAATCATCCTCCCAGTCAACGTGTCCGGTACAGTTCAAGACACCAAGTTTCATGTCATTGAAGGTGACATGAGGTACAATGCCTTACTTGGAAGGCCGTGGATACAAAACATGAGGGCGGTACCATCAACTCTTTATCAGATGATAAAGTTCCCAATAAAAGATGGTATAAAAATGGTGTACGGAGAACAACATGCAACAAAGGAGATGTTCACGGTAAACTACATGGCACCAACATCGACTCTCCCTATCCAGGATGAGTCAGGAAATGAGTTGACACATGAGGAACAGGTGGTCTGTGAGCATTCGAACAAAGATGATGAAGAAGACTTCCCCACTCCTAGAACCTTCATTGCCTGTTGCCCCCGAAGAGTCGGATGCAACGAAATCAACGGTCGAAGAACTCGAACAAGACGTCTTGATCGAGTATCTTCTAGATCAAAAGGTATACCTGGCAATGGGATTAACCCCCGAACTCAGGAAAAAACTCATCCAATTTCTTATTAACGACATTGATTGCTTTGCTTGGTCCCATTTAGACATGACAGGGATCCCGCCGGAAATAACCACCCATCGATTGAGCGTCGATCCCAGGTTCAATCCAGTGAAGCAAAGAGGAGGCTTCAGCCCGAGATAAAACATGTGTTCATCAAAGATGAGTTAAGAAAATTCCTCAAAATAGGATCAATTAGGGAGGTAAAATACCCTGAATGGCTGGCTAATGTAGTAGTGGTTCCCAAAAAGGAAAATAAATTAAGAATGTGCGTAGATTATAAATATTTGAATAAAGCATGCCCCAAAAACTCATTCCCATTGCCCAACATCGATCGCTTGATCGATGCCACGGCCAGCCACGAGATCCTCACCTTTCTCGATGCCTACTCCGGGTATATCAACTTCAAATGAACCTAGAGGACAGGGAAAAAACTTCGTTTATCACGAAGTATGGTACATAATGTTATAATATGATGCCCTTCGGGCTAAAAAACGTAGGAGCTACGTACCTACGCCTAGTTAATAAGATGTTCAAATATCAAATAGGTCAATCTATGGAAGTTTACATTGATGACATGCTAGTTAAGTCCCTGCACATTGATAACTAGGGATTATGATGCATTTTATACTTCTTCTTGCTTAAGTTTTGATTAGAAATGTATACAAAATAGTCCCAAAGGCTCACAAGTTGTGCTTGATTGCAGGTTTGATTAACAAGGTGACAAGGTGTCAAAATCCAGCTCAAAAAGGAGTGAAACATGCACAAGTACCAAGACAAGATCAAACTCAGTCAAACAGGGCCAGTGCGGCCGCACACCATTCTGTGCGGTCCGTAAAGATGAAGTTCAGAGAGGATACTTTCTAGGCCACAAGGCAGTGCGGCCGCAAAGGGTTTTGTGCGGTCCGTATTGGGTTCATTACGGTTGGACTCGATTTCGTGTGGTCCGCAGATCCAAGGTTCAGAGAGGTGGCATTTCGGAGGAACTGGCCAATGTGGTCCGCGGTCCTTTTTGTGCGGACCGCAATAGAAGCCACCGCGGCCGCACTCGACTTTGTGCGGTCTGCAAAGCCCAACTTCAGAGAGCAGAATAGTCAAGCCAAGAGCCTTAGTGCGGCCGCACTCAATTTTGTGCGGTCCGCACTAGCCCCGCAGGGGTATTTTTGTCCAGAATTTTCAGCCTAGTATAAATAGTTTCTTTTCCCATTTTTAGGTCATCAGATAGTTTTGGACGTAGAGCTGCGCTCGTGAACTCATTCCTTTTACTATTTTGAGTAATTTTAGCTTAGTTTCAACATTGACTTTTCAAGTTTTATTTAGCAATTAATTATTATGGGCTTTTCTTCATCTATTTCTTGGTTTTCTTCTCTAATTATGAGTAACTAGACCTATTAGCTAGGGTTGTGGCTCAACCCTAGTATGGGTAATTGATGGGTCTTGTGTTTTGATGCTTGATTTTCTAGGGGTGTTTGATATTTGGGCTAATTTAGGGGTTTAATGTGGAATTAGTGGTTGCGAACACTAGTTTATGCCTAGTAGACTTTGGCTCTTCTTGAGAAAGAGAGCCTAAGTCCATGAAATTAGTCCAAGAAGGAATTAAGGCGTTTTCAAGAGATTGATAGCCCCAATTAAAGGGTTAAACCTAGAGATAGTATTACCCGACTTGAACCTTGATTGCTTGCACAAATTTGCATACCCAATTGGTCTTGAGAAAGTCAATTCGGGCAAAATCACTCGAACCACCGAGAGGTGTAGAGTGAGTAGAATCGTGCAATGGTTATATCATATTCCCTAAATGTGACAATCTAGCTTTAGACTCAAGAATCTATCAATTAGCCACCTAGGAGAAATTCACTACCCTAGTGCCTTTTATCTAATTGAACAACTTGCAATAGTTTAACCTTTACTTAGCTTAATTTAGCATTGTAGTATTACAAAATTAGAATTAATATCAAAACCAAAAATGTTCAGAAGTGCAATTAGGAACAATTACACAACGCCACTTTAGATAGAAACTCAACTCCAATATCTAGCTCCCTGTGGAAATCGATCCCGACCTTCTCGGGTAAAAGCTGCCTCGACCTCTCTTGCTACTCAATAGTAGTATAGGGTTGGACTCGATCACTTTTTGGCGCCGTTGTCGGGGAGCTAACGCTTTTGGTTATCTATCTAAATAGTTTTGTGTATTGTTCTTTTTTCCTTCTTTGTTACTAATTTGTGTGTGTCACAACTTCAGGTACTAAATGGCAACAAACGTAAACAACGCACCTCTTGGAGATCTTCCTCTAGGGAAGGAAGTAGATAACAATGTTGAGGATGAGGTCCCTATTATGCCTCAAGGACAAAGGAGAGGCCGTCAGGCCAATGATAATATTCTAGACCCTCCCCCGCCACCTCCAAGAGTGGCTCCTCGAGTGCTTCTAAACCAAGGCTATGCAAGTTCAATTGTCCGCCCCAGATTCGGGCGAACAATTTTCAACTTACCCATGTGATGCTGACATTGCTGGAGCAACATGTGTATTTCATGGGCGCTGCCAATCAAAATGCTTACAAGCATCTTAAGGGGTTCGTGGATACTTGTCGAGGGAGCAAGCAAACTAATGTGTCTGAGGATGCACTTCGGTTGAGACTCTTCCCATTCTCACTTAAAGGGAAGGCATTGGATTGGCTTGAGCAACTTTCCAACTATTCCATCACTACTTAGGATGAGTTAGCGGACAAGTTTATTGCAAAAGTTTTCTCACCGGGGCATATGGCATCATTGAGAGATGAGATCTTAGCTTTCAAGTAGGAGCCCACTGAACCTTTGCATGAGATTTGGGAGTACTATAAAACAATGGTAAAGGAAGGCCCCAACAATGATATGACTGAGGCGATGATCCAACAGACTTTCTACCGGGGCATTAACACAACAAACCAATGCATAGTGAACCAACTTGCTGGGGGCAACTTCATGAAGCTGTTTATGATGAGGCTTGTGATATTCTTGACGAGATGGCTGACACTTCTTCTGCTTAGCAAAGTAGAGCCAATGTGCCTCAGGGTGACCCCACGGTCACTTATTTGCACAAGGAGTTACATGATCATGGGCATGCTATAGCTGAGTTGACAACTATAATGAACCAACTAGCAAAGGCACAGTTGCAACAAGTTCAAAATCCTCGCCAAGTAAATGCTATGGAGGGTGTCAACATACTAGTCAACAAAAGAAGACAACGAGGTCAACAGAACCAAGAGAATTCAGAGCAATTTGACAATGATTGTGGTGGATTCCAAGATGATAGTTATGATGGGCAAAATGAAGAGGTACAATACGTGAACAATTATCAAGGCCAAAGGGGCAATTCTTCCAACCAACAACAATGGAGGCCCCAATGCAATTGGGGCAATAAATAATAAGGTAATGGTAATTGGGGGAACAACAACCAAAACTCCAACTAGGGAAATCAGAACAATAATTAGGGTAATTGGAATGGGAACAACTACAACTAGGGTGGTAACAACAATTAAGGTGGGTGGAACAATGGCAACCAAGGAAACCGGGGTCAAGGCTTTTAAAGGCCCCCAATATACCAACAACCGAACAATCCGCCCCCATTTCCATTCCAAGGTTCTAGTTCTTCTAACCCTGACATGGGGAGAATTGAAATAATGTTTGAACAGATGATGAAGAAGAGTACGGATTCCGATGCTCAGTTATCTTCCCATAATACTTCAATTAAAAATTTGGAGGTTCAGTTAGGCCAAATCTCACAGTCCTTGAATACTCGCCCTAAGGGTGCTCTACCAAGTGATATGGTCGTAAACTCGAAGGGTGGAAACAATCATGTTATGGCGGTAACTATAAGGAGTGGACGAGGCGGTAATGTGAATGCCTCCAAACAAAAGCAAATTTTGAGTGATGAAGTTGAGTTGCAAGAAGATGAAGTTCCTTTGGTGGTTGAAAATGTGATTGATGATAATGTGAATGAAGAAGTGAGGATTGATATTCAAGATGCCGAGGTGGAAACTCAAAATGACGTGAACCCGTCTAGGGAATACGTAATAGACATGCCTGAGCCGGTTGTGCCTAAAGCCAAGGCTCCTTTGACAAAGCCACCTCCACCTTATTCTCAAAGGCTCGTGAAGCAGAAAATGAGAATCAATTTAAAAAGTTCATTGATATGATGAAGAGTTTATCCATTAATGTGCCCTTAGTGGAGGCTCTTGAACAAATGCCGGGCTATGCTAAATTCATGAAGGACTTGGTGTCAAAGAAATGATCCATGGATTGTGAATCTATAAAGATGACCCACCAAGTTAGTGCAATAGTACATTC